CTGAATCAGCCTTTTTTTTTTTTTTTAACAATGTTACAAGTAGTGATAACACCATTGGTTGTTTTGGCATTAAGTCTATCAACCAAATCATTTTGTCCGTAAGAAAAAATCATTTATTATGTATCATTTATGATGTCTTATAACCAAATCATCATTATCTATGTTATTCCTTAACAGATCAAAAGGAATAAAAAGCCTTTTTGATACTCACACTTTGAAAAAAAACACAAAAATGCTTTTCGTAAAAAAAAGAAAAAAGATTGGCAAATCTCCTAAAGCACGCAAAAATTATTTATGACTAACACACGCATTTGTTCCTCTCTTTTGGTACCCTAAAGGAGATAAACAACTTTAATTAGATAAAAAGTGATAATTTGGTGAAACACATTTAATGTTCGCTTTTAATGCATCAATAAACACTTCCTTCCACAAGGAACGAAAATAAAGACAAGCGAAACAAGTCCGTAAGAGACACTCATGGATTTACAATGGTCATTTTCATGAAGTGCCTATATAAAGAAGCTTGAAGATTTAGAAAAAAATATACAAAGAGAGAGACACACACGCAAAAAATCATATATAGAATATCATTTGTAAAATTCATTACATTCTTTATATAAAAAAAAACTTTGTACTTAATTGATTGTATCACGTCTTGATAGTAAAATGAAACAACATAGTGATTTCTTAGCTTTAACTTTGTGTTATTGCTTTGAACCTGAAAAGGCTTGAGTATAATAAAAATACTTAGTTGTTGAAGCCTGTAGAGACTTTGTGTTGAAAAAATACTTGGATAATTGCTTTAAGAGACAAGTCAAAGAATACTTAGGTTGAGCCAAAAATTTGTGAAAAAATACCTATATCTTTATAAAAGATAGTTGGACTTGATTAAATTGATAAATAAATAAAAAATTGTACGTAATATTAATAACTGAGGTGAACTAATATAAAAAAAAATTATATGTTATTTCTCTTAACTTTTTGTGTACACCCAAAAGGTCTTATTATTACTTTATCGTTTAAAAAAATGTTAAGATTTCGATTCACATAATTCATCCCCATCCCCACTTCTAGTGTCTTTATTTTCTCTATAAGACTACTAATATTCTAGTTTTAAGCTCACCAATTAAAATTATTTTCTACTAAAAAGTTTAATTGATGTGCTTAAAACTTGAGCTATAGTATTAGATTTTCTAAAGAAAAAAAAGAGTCATATATATTAGTAGAAAGGCTCTACTATAATTTTTTTATTTCAAGTATATTTTTTCTCAAATTCAAACAAATAAGACGTATTTGAATATTTCCCTTCAATTCAAAAAAAAAAAATTTACATATTTGATTGGTTGAAGGGAACTCTGCAAAGAAAAATGAATAAATTGAGTGTGTGATTGGGCTATATATATATATATAATATTGAACATATCAGTTCAAAAAAATTAATAAAATCGACATTTGTGAAAGATAAAGATAAAATTTTAGGATCTAAGACACTAATTATACATCTGCCACCAATTCTTTTAAAGAATTTATTCAAAGTATGTTCGACAAAAAAAATGTAGGTGTCGTGTGCGGAACTAACATTTTCTAAAAAATGTAGGTGTCGTGTGCGGAACTAACATTTTCTATCTTTGCCACGTATCTATTATATTATGATGATGCTCGTGGGACAATCCTCATCTGATCAAAAGCATATATGCTAGTAAATGGTAATGCAATCCCTAGTGGTATAATAATATTCAACGTTTTTGAATTAAGCAGATTTTTAGTGTTTTTGAATTATGCAGATTTTTAGTATAGTCACCTGAAACTTCGAGACTAAGAATTTACGGAAGTGAAAAAAAACAAAACAAAGTTGGGTTGTGCAATAGAAATGCAAAATAGTGATAAGAAAACACTTTGGGCACACCTTGTTTGTTTCATGGCCAACGGTGTTTCCCCTTATTACGTAAATACATGCACACTTCCTTCTTAGCCATGAATATAAATTTTCCATTTGTAGCAAAAAGTGAAAGAAATCAATAAGCTTTCTTTGGTTTTAACTTTAATGGCCAGTGATTACAAAGAGGGTTCTAGGCAATTCACAAGGGACAAACAATCAAATCTTGTGGGTCATGGAGCAACAATTTCATCACACAGTTGCTATGAAGCACAAAATGATGAACCAAAAATACAAACATGTGCAACTGAGTGTTAGTTCAAGCACTGAAAAATCTTAGGCTTTGTGACACTAAGAAAGCAGCATTAGCATTAGCATACAGGAATAGGATTACACATTAGATCTCTCCATGGGAGACACAAATCCCTTTCAAGTGCCTTTATGGCAGAAGAAAAAGAAGAGGGTGTGGTTCAAAGAAGACCCCAAAGCATCTTAACCCCACCTTATAGCTACATTTTTGGCCTCTGATTCCGTACAATACAAGGACCCATTATTCAAATCTAGGCTCAACCATCTGCAAAACACAAAGATGCCAAGTTATCATCATGCCAGCACCTAACTTCAAGTGAAAATGAGAAGATCAAATGAACTAAATTTTTTGCACAAGTAAAATTCAACTTTTGAGTACCTCACTTTTGTAAAAATTAAAGTGAAGTTAACAACTTATGGGGAACATAATTTTCTTTTTTTTATTTTCTTCATCTGAAATAAGGAAGAACCAAAGTAATTGGCAAGAATGTGGAAGTTAAATTGGCAATTACCATGGTGAGTTCTTGAGCTGAAGGTTGGAAAATCATGAGAAGTGGGAATGGAGATTGAAAGTTGGGTTGTGGAAGATTTATCATCCAAATCAAGCCAAGAGGCTTCTCTTCCTTTGTGGGGCCATTCATCAAAGAAGCGATGAACGGTTTTCTGAGGTTCTTCTTTCCCGCGTTGACCACTTAGCATGTAGCAATTACCCTGATCTTGTTGCTCTTGTTGCTTTGAGTGGCTCTGAAGTTGCAAGCACGAGTAATCATTGGACAAGCCAAAGGAACTCCTCTGTTTGGAAGAAGAAGATGAGGAACTCATAGTCAACGGTGCTAGTTGCCAAGGCTCATCCATAGAGGAAGCAGAGAAGCTTTTCATAACACCACATGGCTCAGTGAAGAAAGCATGCTCATCCACCTCTTCTTTCTCTCCATAAACATACCTGCTCCTTTTTCACAAGAAAAAAACAAAAACAAACAATCAATAAAACTTGAAGAAGGTGTCTATCACAAGAGCATTTTAGTTCTAAGACTAGTATTCGAACTCACTAGACAAGACCAGACCACAAACTAATCTCGTTCACGATATTGTGGGTAAACTAATCTTATTTACAGTACTTTGTCTATCCACAAAAGACTAATTTCATTCAGAAAATTCACAGTATTTTAGAGTGCCTATTGACTAGAGATAAATCTTATTCACCATACTATAACTATGAACAATAGACTAATCTCATTCACAGTATTGGGCCTTTCGGTCAGAGACTAATCTGGCTCACTGTACTGTGTTTATCGCTTGCCTGATAAATAAAAGCTTGGTTTTGAGACAAACCTGCAGTCTGTGTTGGACTGAGAGCAAGAGCCAGTGTCAAGGAACAAGGGAGTACTGTTGTTGTCTTCAAATGACAAGCCAATGCCAGAGGACCTTGATGGAGGGTGGTGGTAGAGAAAGGAGCCATAGCAAGAGTGTTGGTGTGTTTCAGATGATGCAAGAGGTGAAAGGGTGTTACTGTTTTTGGTGATTGATGAGATTGCATGTGTTGATGCAGCATTTGTGTTTGATGTTGTTGTTGATGCTGTTGTTTTCAAAACTTCCACAGGCTTTCTTGAACGATTTTTCCCTCTGTGCATGTGCCTCTCACAGTACTTAGAATCAGGATATGCCTCCTTTGAGCACCTCCATTTCTTGCCATCAGTTCTTCTACACCTACCTGGCTCAGGGTCTATTTTTCTCCCCAAACCCATCTGCAGGTAGTTCCATCCAACTGTGCCAAACAAACAAAGAAACTCCTTTTGTCAAAGATTTGCACTCTCACACAGTGACACAGAAAAAGAGAGACACAGAAAGAGGAAAAAAGAAAAACTCACAGTGCTGTGGCTGGCTAGGCAAAAGCCTTGAGGACAGAGGGGAATCAAAGTAGCTCCTTTTTATGGTGAAGAGAAGATCAGGTGGAATGGTAATACCTGAAGCCATGTACTTGTAGATAAGAGCTTGGTGCTCCAGCTCTTGCCACTGTGATGGGGTAAAGGGGAACCTGTTCCTTCCATTCATCATCAAGCAAGTAGGTAGTAGAAGAGGAAAATAGAAGACCAAACCAAAGACCAAGATATATATACATATACATACATATATATAAAATAAGTGTAATGAAAATAATAGTATTATTTTTTTTTATGTAATAGAAGAGAAACTGAAATATGACATTTGACGTATTATAGAAAAGATTATTTAGCAGAAAGTTGATGTTTTACTTTTATGAGTGTAAAAACTTGTTAGATTAAATGATAATTACAAGACTGAAGGAGATAAATATATGATAAGATTAAGATGGAGGAGATATTTTATTATTTATTTATTTATTGTATGTGAAAGAGAGTGGAGTGTTTGTGGGCTAATAGTATTAATATTAGAATAGGGCTTGGAGAGTAGAGTAGGTATATTTATTTGAGGGACCATGGGGTTACAGAATCTTGTGTAGATGAATAAAAAAAACTAATGGTTGTGATTAGTGATTAGAGTGGTGCAGTGCAGTGCAGTGCAGCATGGTGATGGCTGATGCATTCTCTCTCTACTGTTAGGGTACTGCAGCTAAGCTGTCTCTGTGGCAGCCCTTGTCTCTGACAGGTCTACGGAAATCCATAAACTAAAGGGAGAGAGAAGAGTCCTAAAAACAAAAGAGGAAATAGTTATTATTGGTATTATTGTATAAGAGGGTTTTAAGAGTTGGTGTGTGAAGCCAATGGGTATCTGAGAAGAATGTACGGTGGGAGCTTTTACTGCTACTAAACTCTTTTACTTTTTCTGTTCCTTTACCTCAGACTCAGACTCAGACCCCAGAAACCCCCCACTCACTATTTGACCTTTTTTCATTTCGGAAACGTAGAAAACCAGACATGCATATGCAGGCCTGACCCCTCTTCTGCACTTCCTCTTTCTTTTTTCTTTTTTTTACTTTTCTTCTTTCATTTCTCTCTCTCTATATATATATATATATATTAACTAACATGCATACATATGCACACCTCTTTTGTCCTTCGATCCTAATACCACTTTCATGCTGAAATCTGTTATAATCACGTTCCACTCAATGTTTTTTCTTTTCCCACTTGTGAAGTCTGATTTGGATTTAGGATGTAATCATGTTTTCACCCAAGATTTCATAACATATTTCTTCATATAGATTAAATATTGTTTATTTTAAATTTCAATTCTTATAATTTTTTTTTATTTAATAGTGGTATATAGAATTTAATTATATTCTAAGTATTTATACAATTTTTACAATAAAATGATATCTTTTTTCATATTAATAAGATATTGTTTATTTTATTTTAATTACTCTTTTTTTTTATCATTTTAAAAAAAAGTTTATTAGTGGAACTTTGATTATATTTAACAAATTCTCGACATGTTCATGTATATTCTATAAAAATAATTAATAATAATTACTAAAGTAAAATAGATAATTCAAATTAAAAAAATTACAAATAAAATTACCTCATATAATTATTATTATAATTATTTATATTATAATTATTTTGATAATTATTATTATTATTGTCATTACTATCATAATTATCTTTATTATCACTGTTATTGGTATTATTATTGTCATTACTTCTATTATTATTATTATTATCATTGTTACTATCACTTTTATCACGATAACAATATCATCAATAGTTGTAGTAGTGATAACAATAATAACAATAATAACAATAATAACGATAATAATGATAATAAAGTAATAATAATTATAATAGAAATAACTATAATAATTTGTATTGGTAATTTTATTTGTAATTTTTAAATTTAATAATGATAAAGATAAATATAATATTAACTCATAGTACATCTTTATTTAGTTGCTAAATTATCATAAACAACTTTAAATACATTTTAAAAAAACAATTCATAGAAAAGGATACAATATTAATTTAATTAAATCTTTGCCAGAAATCAAATTTAGTTCCTCTTATAACTATTCTCAATCACGTAATTAAAAAAAAAAAAAAAAAGTCACAGCGTTAAAGGAAGTAGAGGTTTATGCTTTTAGTTTAGAATTTTATATGCATAAACATAATACAATCGCTCTCTTTGCATCTCTTTTAAACCAAATTTCAATTATTATTATTTTTTTTACATATGTCCTATGCATATGGCATTTCATTTCTTGTCAAGACTTCCCCAATATTGAGTAAGTGTATTCATTCTTCTACATTTTTTTTCTGTAAGTACATTATTTCTAACATTATGAATTAGAATTAAACATTCTTAACATTCTTTCTCTTCTCAATTTTCAAATGCATTTTTTTTTTGTGTAACTACATTATTTCTAAACATTATGAAAATTATGAATTAAACATTCTTAATATTTTTTCTCTTCTCAATTTTCAAATTAGAAATGCATTTTACACATTATTCTTGCAACTAATAAACACTTATATAAGTCATCTTAAACTACTATTCTTTTATTATGTATATTAATTTTTTAACTAATTATATGTTTCAATTTATCCTCTCTTTTATCTCAATTTTCAAATTAAATTTCAAACATTTAAAAAAATAATTAAAAGTGTTTCAATTGGTAGAAAGAAGACTATTTATAGAGTAAGTGATCAATTGAGTTCTTTTATGCTTGCTCAACGTGCCTATTATATAATCGTTTTGTTTTGTCTATCATTTTATCTCTTATTTCTAATAACTTGTATTTACTATTGTCTCTTAATGTATCATACATATTGTATAACTGACATATCAAAATAATATCTTTTAAATATAATTGTTATCATTATAAGTGTTTTTTTTTCTTTTATAATTGTCTTTATTATATTTTAGCTTTGATGAATAGTTTGATGATATTACAAAAAAGGTTAATAAATTCTTAGAAATAACAATCAGTCGAAAACCTAACTATATAAACTAAGTCGGTCAATCTTTGACCTATGAATAGGATACACAATCTCTTGATCTCAAGTCTTTAAATAAAAGCAAAAAGGCTAAAAAATAAATGATTATTAGTCAGTTTTCGTCTTAAGAGGATACAAAAGTATTATTATTTTACAACTTAAATAATTCATTATAAGTCTAAAATATATTTTTATATTTATTTATTTTAAAATTTAATTATAAAAAATAGCTTCTTCTTTTTTTTTTTTTATCCCAAATAAAGCCTGAGCAAAATATTATTTATAATGTGAAGATGTACCAACAAGTGACAAGATGGTTAAAGAAAAGAAGAATAAAGTTAATCTTAAATATAAAAAGAAAAATGTAGAAGTGTTGGAAGCATGTAGGAATTTGTTTGTTCTGAGATGAGTGGGATTCAGATCTTGATTCTGCGTTTACCTTAGAAATTGAAGAGCATTTCTACTGAAACATCACATTTTCTGCAGATCCGTATTTAACATGAGACAGTGCTCACATGCTTAACCATCTTTTTCCTCTTTACTAAAACAATAAGAACATGGCAGAACTCAACATAGTTTGCGTTTCAGCAACCATTATAAATTAATTAATACAATGCACGTGCTATCTATTTGTCACATCTACTCTAACCTAAGCCTAAGCAGTAAGCACCTTTAATTATTATATATATATATATATATATATATATATTTTTATTTATTTGCAAAGATTTGGCGCCTCTTCCTACGCTCATAACAAGTGCTTGTGTGGCTCTCCTCTTCCTTCCTGCACTTGATTACTTTACAGTTACACTCTGTGGGTAATATATATATATATATATATATATATATATGCATGGTTTCACTCATTATGGATTTACTTTTAACTTATCAATTCCACTAATCCACCAGTTCCAAATTAACTATTTTAATTATGTAATCGGATTTCCTAAAACAGAATTTGATTGTATTAGAAACTGTAATTCAACATAATTGTCTTGTGTTAAACTCTATGATTTAAAAATTTAGAAATACTATGAAAATTTTTGAAAAAAGAAAACAATTTTACAGCCAATGTTTTGATCCAATCCATATTTATCAGATTAATTTAACTTTTTTTGAATATAATTCTTACAGTATTTTAAAATATAGTTTTTATTAATCAAATATATTATTTTAACATTAAAAAAATTATGTTGAACACACTATATCGATATAAGTCGTTAATCTTTATCCAACTCACTTAAGTTAAGAATTAAATTTTTTTTCTTTGACTCAATCTACTCACGTGACTCCGTAATCACCCTGTCCAATGTCAATAGCAAAGAGTATTCCAATCTTAACAAAGATTGTCTATAAACCATAGCATTTGGCTTGATGATTAATATATATTAATAGGTTGAATTACAAAATTTTAATTTTCTTATTTTAAAATTTTCATAACTTTTTTTAATTAATTTTTATTATTTTAATTATATAATTTTGATTGACCTTTAATTATATTGTAATGAATAGAAAATGAATAAATTTTTAGAAATATGTTTGAATTAAAAGAAATATATATAAAGAGATATAGATTTTTTTTTTGTCTCATAACACTACTAGAATTTTTCTTAATACATATGACTTTTCTTATGAATTTTGTATTAAAGTCCGCAGTAAACATTATTCCTATGAATTTTTCTGCAAAATTTATCTGTATGTAATACCTTTGTGGATAATATATTTATGCGAATTTTAAAATTCACAAGAAATTTTCCTGCAAAATTTCTTGCGAAAAAAATTCGCAGGAAAGTTTTCTGCAAACAAAAAATTCGCAGGAAGAAAGTTTCCTGCGAATTTTTCTTGCAAGAAACTCTGCGAGAATATTTTTTACGAAAAAAATCATAAAAATTACTATAAATTCTATCAATAATTATTTAACTTTCAAATGCTCACAATGAATTTATGCGAAACATTTGTTTCCACGCCTCCAACATGTGATACATAATCTTTTAAACTCTAAGATTGTAGATTATAAGCCTAACACTCTACCATACAAATCAACTTGTAAGATAAGTGTTGCCCCAACTTATATACTTTTTAATTGTTTTATTTTCAATCGATGCAGGACTTGAAGTTTTTTTTCAAATATTAAACTTATAAATTTATATATATTTTTTTTTAATTTTTCCCACGAATTAAAATTGGCAGGAAAATTCGTAGGAAAAATTATC